TGGGATTCCAGGACCCCTAAACTCTAGACCTCATCAGTTCCAGTCAACCTCCTCTTCGGGACCCCCTTGAGGCAGGGGCAGCTTTATGCCCCTTGCCAGCAGGAAGCAGTTTCAGAGGCCTAGACCTACACCCCTTACCCCAAAAGAATTTGGGTCCCAATTGTTTGAGAGGGGAATGATGAGGATAGGAGCTAGACCCCAAAAAGGAAAAACCCTGGACTTTCCCACATGGCCAAATCTCTGGCATTCCCCTGAGGCTATAATCCCATCAATTTGCTTTTCGTTGTGGCTACACCCAATCCCCCAATTCTGTTACCTCCCTGTGGCCTCAGGCTACTTCCACCCTTAATCCTATCTAGGCTCCATTCTCCCTTGGCTGAGATCCAGGTCCCTGGAGTTCTATTATCTCAGACTGATTGGCCACTCCTAGATCCCTCCCATAGTCTTTCTGCATATAAGGTCCATCTTGTCTCCATTAAGATGCTTAGATTCTTATAATCTAGCCAAATGCTCATTTTTAGACTCCTTAATAGTCTGCCCAATATGAAGGATGTTCTAATAAACCTTGTCTTTGACTGAAAAAAAAAAATGAAAAGGGTGAAATCACAACCAAAGAAGAAGAAAATTAAATCCATCATTGGGAAATATTTTGCCCAATTATATACCAATTAATCTCACAATCTGAGGAAAATTGATGAATATTTACAAAAATATAAATTACCCAGATTAATAGATGAAGAAATAGAATGCCTAAATAACCCCATCTCAGAAAAAGAAATTGAACAAGCTACTAATAAACTCCATTAAAAAAATCCCCAGGGTCACATGAGTTCACTTGTGAATTCTACCAAACATTTAAAAAACAATTAATTCCAATACTATATGAACTATTTGGAAAAATAGGAAAAGAAGGAGTTCTACCAAGTTCCTTTTATGACACAAATATAGTGCTAATACCTAAACCAGGAAAAGCTAAAACAGAGAAAGAAACTATAGACCAATTTTCCTAATGAAGTGATGTAAAATTTTTAAATAAAATATTAGCAAGGAGATTACAGCAATATATCACAAGGATCATACACTATGACCAGGTGGGACTTGTACCAGAAATGCAGAGTTGGTTCAATATTAGGAAAACTGTTAGCATAATTGACCATATCAATAACAAAACCAAGAGAAATCATATTAATATCTCAATAGATGCAGAAAAAGCTTTTGACAAAATACAGCATCCATTCCTATTAAAAACACTAGAGAGCATAGAAATAATGGGAGCTTTCCTCAAAATGAAAAGCAGTATGTATCTAAAACCATCAGCAAGCATTATCTATAATATAAAGAGAAAAAAAATTGAAGGAATTAGAATAGGCAATGAGGAAACAAAACTATCATTCTTTGGAGATGATATGGTAGTATACTTAGAGAATCAACTAAAAAACTACTTGAAATAATTGACAACTTTAGCAAAGCTGCAAGATATGAAATAAACCCACAGAAATCATCAGCATTTTGATATGAGCAACAAAGCCCAGCAGCAAGAGACAGAAAGAAAAATTCCATTTAAAATAATTATAGACAATATAAAATATTTGGGATTCTACCTGCCAAGAGAAACCTAGAAACTATATGAACACAATCACTTTTCACACAAATAAAGTCAGATCTAAACAATTGGAAAAATATCAATTGCTCATGTGTAGGCCAAGCCAATAGAATAAAAATGACAATTCTTCCTAAATTAATTTACTTATTCAGTGCCATACCAATCAAACTACCAAAAATATTTTATAGAGCTAGAAAAAAATAATAAAATTCATCTGGAAGAATGAAAGGTCAAGAATATCAAAGGGATTAATGAAAAAATGCAAAGGTGGCCTAACCATACCAGATCTCAAATTGCATCATAAAGTGGCAATCATCAAAACTACTTGGTACTGGCTACAAAATAGAGTGGTGAATCAGTGGAATAGGTTAGGTAACACAAGACATGGTAGTCCATAACTATAGTAATCTATTGTTTGATAAAACCAAAGACTCCTGCTTCTAGGATAAGGGCTCACTATGTGACAAAAACTGCTGGGAAAACTGCAAAAATAGCATGGCAGAAACTAGAGCACAGACCAACATCCCACACTCTATACCAAGATAAGGTTAAAATGGGTACATGATTTAGACATAAGGGATGATACCATAAGCAAATTAGGAGAGCAAGAAATAGTTTACCTGTCAGATCTATAGAGAAGGGGAGAATTTATGACCAAATGAGAGATAGAGAACATTATAAAGACAAAATGGAAAATTTTGATTACACTAAATTAAAAAGGTTTTGCACAAACAAAGCCAAGACAACTAAGATTAGAAGGAAAGCAGAAAGCTGGGAAACAATTTTTACAGCCAGGATTTCTGATAAAGGTCTCATTTCTAAAATATATAGAGAACTGAGTCAAATTTATAGGAATACAAGTCATTCCCCAATTGATAAGTGTCAAAAGATATGACCAGGCAGTTTTCAGAGGAAGAAATTAAAGCCATCTATAATCATATGAAAAAATGCTCTAAATCACTATTGATTTAGAGAAGTGAAAATTAAAACAACTCTGAGGTACCACTTCACACCTGTCAGATTGGCTAATGTGACAGAAAAGGGAAATAGTAAATGTTGGAGAAGATGTGAGAAAATTGGGACACTAATGCACTGTTGGTGGAGTTGTGAACTGATTGAGTTGTGAACATTTTGTAGAGCAATTTGGAACTCTTCTCAAAGGACTGTAAAACTGTGCATACTCTTTGATCCAGCAACAGCACTACTAGGTCTGTATCCCAAAGAAATAATTAAAAAGGGAAAAGGACCTACATCTGCAAAAATATTTATGAAGCTCTTTTTGTAGTGGCAAAGAACTGGAAATTGAGGGTTTACCCATCAACTGGGGAATGGCTGAACAAGTTGTGGTATAAGAATGTAATGGAATTGTGCAATTAGAAATTATGATCAGGCAGGTTTCAAAAAACCTGGAAATACTTACATAAACTGATGCAAAGTGAAATGAGCAGAACCAGGAAAACATTGGTCACAGTAACAGCAATCTAGTGCAATGAACAACTATGAATGACTTAGCTCTTCTCAGCAATACAATGATCCAAGACAATTCCAAAAAGATGATGTACTCTGAATGCAGATCGAAGCATACTATTTTCACTTTATTTTTTTCTTGTTTTTTCTTTCCTTTTGCTCTATTTCTTCTTTCACAACTGCGACTAATATGAAAATATGTTTTACATGATTGCACATATTTAGCCTCTATCAAACTGTTTGCCATTTTAGGAAGAGGGAAGAGAAGGAGGGGAGGGGAGGGGAGGGAGGGAGGGAGAAAAATTTGGAACTCAAAATCTTCCAAAAATGAATGCCAAAAATTGTCTATACATATAATTTGGGAGGAAATAAAATAATATTTAAAAATAAATAAATAGAAGATTTTTTTTAAAAATCCTATGTTGGTGGAGTTCTTTGCAACTTGATTTGTTTTATACCATTACTAATCAAATGTTTTATTTTGGTGAAAGTGACATGGCTTAGCATGGCCTTATTTCCTTTATCATTAACAATAATCTTTACTTTCTCGTGTGGGAAAGACTCCCATTCAGGAATAATCTTTGCCAAGATCACTGCCAACTGTGGGTTTCTGACACTGGGCCATTAGGCTCATGCTGACTAATTAGGAGTCCCAAGGACTACTGCTATACTGAGTGAGACCCACTGGATATTCTTCATGACTCACTATCATAACCCATCCTAAACCCAAATCATTAGCAGATAGCCAGCCTTTTTTGGTGATGAATCTCTCCAAATTTGGCAAGGCTGTTCTTCACGTTAAGAAGAATGTCATCCATCCCCCGGGAAGTATTCAATGTTTTCCTAGCTTGATAGGTCTTGCTAGAGCTTGTGCTACACCACCATTGCTGCCATTGTCTTTAGGAGTCAAGAGTTAACTCTACATCACAATTTTTAGGGGAGGAGTTAATAATTAACAGAGCTTAAACTTAATGATGGTGCCAAAACCCACTTCAAACCAAATATGTAATGACATTCCTAATACTAAAAGATCACTGGATTTGGAGTCAAAAGAATTGAATTCTAGTCTGAGGCTGCCTTTTACTTGAAGTGACCTTGGACAAATCCTTTCCCTCTCTAAACTTCTGTGTCCTCATCTGACAAAAAATAAGGAGGTAAGAACAGATGATCTCTAAGATCATTCCCAGCTCTAACATTCTATAAGTCTGTATCAGAATAAAACATTACTGGTTATGATCATGTTTCACTGTACGTTGTTTTGTTTTTGGCACTATAAGAGTTTCTTACTCTTGGCAATAGATGAGGTGTCTTTTGATTTGTCTTTTTCTTGACTCAAAATCATCCGTATCCTTCATGGCCCAGAGTACTCTAATACTCTGGGCTCATACAGACTAGGTCTGAACCTGGGGTTTTGCCCCAAAAAGTCAGTTTCTTTCTTTGTTTCTTGCCCCCATCTCAGAGTTTTATTATTGGGAGATGCCCTGATTAAAGTTAAATGTGCCTAATGTCTCAATTTCCCCCCAAAGTGAGTAAAGGATCCCTAATTTCCATTCATATGCTCAATGTATAATATGGGCATCAAGTATAAAACAGCCCTTAAATCATTCACCATATTAAATACACAGAAGGCAAAGGACTCACAGGAACTCACAGACAAATGAAGAAAGAAAAATGTCTCACGTTGGCCATTAAAACTCTTAGACTCCTAGAATGTAAACACATTTTGTGGGACTAATGAATAAACAATACATCAGACTTGCCCTGTCTGAGCAACTCAAAGCATTGCCAAGGTCCAAATCTCTTGACCCCACACTCCCCTGGCCTCGTTTCAGTACTTCAGCTCCAGGAAGCTTCTTGGTTAATGATCCTCTTCCTTCTTCAAATAACATAATGTTGAGAAAATATCTCTCTTGGTGGCTGGTGACCAAACAATCGAATGCAACAACTCTGGATCTCTTAAGAACTCTCAAACTCGTGAAGTAAAGTACAAAACTTAAAAACAGTCTACTCTGGATATCTCTGGTCTCTATACTATTTTCAAAAAGAGGAAACAGAAAGGCAGAAGAACACCGGGAACTCATTATCCAGGAAATCCTTTCACTTTCCTCTCAAGCTTGCAATATATTTCTTCTGAAAACATCTATTACTCTTCATTGCAGAGAGAAGAGGAGAGAAAGAAAGGACAAATATCCTAATGTCTACTCCCTCCTAGGATCACAGATCTTGAATGGTAAGAGACCCAAGAGGCCATCAAGTGTGATTTTCTTTTTGCACAGATGAGTAAAGCAAAGCATAGGGAGTTTAAGTGACTAGTGAAGAGTTACAGAAGTAGCAAGCATCAGAGGATAGATTTTAACTCAGGTCTTTTAACTACAGAATCAGTGTTTTTTTCCACTGTAGCACACCGTCTTCTTGCTTTACTCTGATCTGAAAGTCCCAGGAAGAAAAAAACGTGTATGAGGAAAAGACCAGTGCTGGTGACTCAGCTCACTTTCATACACATTGATGAAAAATTGGCTCTTCAAACTTCACCCTGTTCTTCTCAGTCACCAAACATTTTTGCAAGCAGCCCTGGTCACTGGGATCCAATCAGAAAGACAGCCTGTGTAATTTGGGCAGAGGGCCCTTCTCATCAAATTGATTGGACAACTCCTCAAATTGATCAGGGTCTCCCTCATCACCCTCTCTAATTACATCTGCTTGCTTTAGTTGATAACAGCTCTTATCTATGAGAAATACAAAGACTATTTTTCTGCATAAAGTGTATTTTGCCTTTGTTTGTTTTCCTTAGCACAGTGAATTGTGCCTTGTAAGTACTTAATCAATGCTTGTTGAATGATTGAAAATTCTGTTTTATTGGGCACAAAAAAAATTCCTTTCACCCTTCTCTGTTCCTTTTCCTTGTGCACTCAAAGTAGCCATGTTGTCAATATACCATGACTAGGAAAATAGTCTTCTAGGCACAGATTCTGTATGTAGGAATATTTTCCTCCTAAGGAAGCAGTGGGATAGAAGATAGATGGGGGCAAGCCACAGTAGAATCCATAGAGAAATAGATATGGGGTACAGTGCAAAGAGCCCTGGATTTGAAATCAAAAGATTTAAATTTTAATCCCTGTTCTGTTACTACTTATATAACCATGAGCAAGTCAACTCCCCTATCTGGACTTTAGTTTCTTATTAAATGAGGAGATTGTATCAGATAATCTCCACGGACCCTTCCCATTCCATATCCTAAGATCTTGCCCCTAAAACACTTCTTTCATAAAATCCTTATCCTGGTGAAAAATGTTCCATGAGCCCTCCCTGTCTACAGGGAAAAGTCCAGACTCCTAAGCTGGGCAATGGAAGTTGCCTTACTTCTCCTTACCTACTCCACTTCTTACTTCTCCATTCTTATTCCTATATGACTTAAACAATATGAGACCTCTACTCCTGCACCTCTTCTCTTTTACCCATATAATTTTCTATCCGTAAAGGCATTCCCCTTCACCTCCCTCCACTAATACAAATCCCACTTATCCACAGACTTCCAACTTCATTTGTGGCAGATTTTAGTTCCAACCTTTAGTGGCTCACCAACTGTGCCTATAGGATGAAACCAAAATTCATTAGGTAGGCAGGAATTCAAGGTTCTCCACAACTGGACTCCACTCAAACTTTTCTAACTGATGTCACCTAGCTCTTGTTTGCATATTCTATGTGCTACTCAGAGTTCCACAAACATACTTTCCAACCTCTTTGCTTTTGCTTGTTCTGTTATTCCTTATTCTTATTCATCTGATCCTCTAACTTCCCCCACCTCCATCATTGCCTATTGAAATATTACCCTTCAGGTCAGGTGTGGTGGCTTGTACCTATAATCTCTGCTGCTAGGCAAGCTAAGGCTTGAACTGGAAAATTCTGAGCTGCATGCAATAGGCTAGGGTGATCAGATTTCCACACTAAGTACAGTACCAATATGGTAAGCCTTCAGGAGTAAGTGGCCAACAGGCTACCTAAGGAGGGACAAACAGGCCCAGGTCAAAATAGAGTAGATCAAAGCTCCTGTGTCAATTAGTAGTGGGATTGGGCTTGTGAGTGGCCACCACATTTGGCCACAACATTTCTAGCCTGGGATAGAGAGAGAGAGAGATAGGAAGGAAGGAAGGAAAAAAGAAAGGGAGGGAGGAAGGAAGGAAGGAAAGAAGAAAGGAAGGAAGGAAAGGTGGGAAGGAGGAAGAGTAGAAGGGAATGTTGATTCTTATCTAATTCAGTGATCATATCTTCTCTCTCTTTGTTCTTCAAGGACATGAACATACCATTATGTGACTAAAGTTAAAGCATTTGCAAACAAGTTCTTCCTGATTTAGCCTGAAGAGGAGAAGGATCAAGAGGTGACAGATGGCTGGCTTCAAGACTTTGAAGGAATGTCATGTGGAATAGAGATTTGGTGTGTTCTGTTTGGATCCAGAGGGCAGACCAGGGGGCAGAGGGTGAAAGCTACAAAAAAAGACAAATTTAGGCTTGAGATAAGGGAGGGAGGAAGGGAGGAAAGAAGGAAGGAAAGAAGGTATGAAGGAAGGAAAGGAGTGAGAGAGGGAGGAAGGAAGGAAAGAAGGAAGGAAGGAAAGAAGGGATGAAGGAAGGAAAGGAGTGAGAGGAAGGAAGGAAGAAAGGAAAGAAGGAAGGAAGGAGGGAGGGAGAGAGGGAGGGAGGAAAAGAGGGAGAAAGGAGTGACACATAGTAGGAACTTGGAGATTTTTCTAGTTCAACTCTCATTTTTCAGATGAGAAAACTGAGACCCAGAGGAAGAAAGTGATGTCCCCAAGGATACACAACTAGATAGTGGCAGAACTAGAAATAGATTATCTTCTCTCACACCCATATTTTTTGAAGGTCTTTGAGAAAAGCCTGGAGGACCATTTGGTAATATCTTAGAAAGGATTGTTTTTAGGGGTACAGGTTGGACTAGATGGCTGTCAAGATTCCTTCCAGTCCAAAAATAATGTGATTCTATAATAAAACTAAGGGAAGGGGCCTTTTTGGCTGTCCTAGGTTCAATATGAATTGTTGGCTCTCCCTTTCATTTGGGACGTGAGTTTCATTTTAAGTGATGAAAATACAAGTGTTGAGGAATGGAAAGAGCCCTGCCTTGGGAATTAAGAGAGCTGAGTTCCAGTACAGACTCTGCCATTAACTAGCTACGTGAGCTTGGGCCTTAGTTTCTTCATCTGTCAAATAATCGGCTTAATCCAAATAACTCCTAAATTCCATTTTATCTCTATCATTCAATGATTTTAAGGTTCCTTCTAGCCCCAATATGCTATGTGTAGTAGACAGAGTAGTGGATTGGGGCCAGGAAGACTTGAATTCAAATCCTGCCTTGGACCAATATTAGCTGTATGGCTGTAGGCAAGTCACTTAACCTCTCATTTTCAATTTTCTTATCTGTAAAATGGGGATAACAATAGCACCTGGAGAGGAGAAGGCTCAGGAGGGGGCAGATGGCTGCCTCCCAGGGTTGTTGTGAGCATCAGATGAAACAATGATTATAAAGAGCTTTGCAAATCTAAAAATGCTATATGAATGCCAATTATTATTATTATTATTAACAATAATCATGAATAGAAGAAGCTGCAGCCAAGGGAACTATCCAAAGTTTCATCACTTATCACTTCAATGCTCTTTACTTTGGTATCTTCGAACCATCTCTTAAAATAGGGGCCTGTGCTGCACATGTTAATATATAACCAGAACTTCTGTTTCACAATATATCTCCTGGCATAAGTGAGGAAAGAATGCATTCTCCTGGGGATTTGAGAAAGCTACTTGGGGAGGTGCCGTAAGTACCCATTTCTCTTTAGAAATGTAGTAGTCCTTAGTCAGGATTCCATGGAATAATGGCTCCAGTTCTTTCTATCTGGGATTTCATTGCATTTCAGCCCTGCCAGCCCACCAAAGTCTTGTCCCTGGAAGGAAACTGAGTTTGTTCAGTGACCAATTGGCCTCTGCCAGTCTTAGAGATATGTTTTACTCTAGGATGGGGCAGTTTCTGAAACTTGCCTTGGTGACACTGGGGAGCTACCTTTGTTAAGGAAGAAGCCCAAATTTCAGAAAGAAGGGAAAGAAGGAGAAGAGTGCTATGAGAGGGACCCTTGCCTCCCAAGGCAAGCTACTTAATACTTATTAAGTAGCCTTTCTTTCACATCATTGTTGGCAATGGATGTTGCCAAAGAAAACACAGCTACCTGACTGATGGATGATCATTAGTGAGTGCCCAGTGCTCAAATGTGTCCTGTAACTGTGCAAAAAGGTCAACTTTGAAAAAAAATGCAAATGTGTTTCTGGGAACCTCCTTTCCCACTTCACATAGAACCAGAGATTCTAAGAAAGAATGTCAGAGCCATAAAGAACCTTAAAACATAGAATGTTAGCACTGGAAGGGCCTTAAAACATAAAATTTTATGATATAGATATAGACAAATACTTATTAAGTATCTAATATGTGCAAAGCAATGTGCTGAAGATAGAAAAATATGAGTCCCTGCTCTCGGAGTGATAAAGCTATAAGGTTCCTTTGAACTCAGGTTTTAGACTATAGAATGTGACAACTGAAAAGGATTTTAGATGTCAACTGAAACCCAGAAAGGGAAGTCATTTGCCCAGAGTCAACGGTAGGGATAAGACTGGAGCCTGGACATAGATGTTTGTCAATGAAACAGTCACCTTCTTACTCCGGATAAGAAGTGATCCAAAGTTGTAGCAAGAGATAGTCAAGTTAAGCATCGTTGTTGTTGTTCAGTTGTTTTTCAGTCAAGTCCGATTCTTCATGACCCCATTTGGAGTTTTCTTGGCAGAGACACTAGAGTGGTTTGCCATTTCCTTCTCCAGCTCATTTTATACATGAGGAAACTGAGGCAAATACAGTTAAGTGACTTGCCCAGGGTAAGACAGCTAGTAAGTGTCTGAGGCTAGATTTGAACCCAGGAAGATTAATCTTCCTCACTCCAGGACTGGCACTCTATTATACTACACCACCTAGGAAGGCATTTTGTAATGCAAAGGCCAATGAGACTGTGGAGAATATTCTCAAAACAGATTGTACAACTTCCTTCTCTGGACATTTCTAAGGAGTAAGAAGTGATGATGCATTTATGAGGAGGATTCATTCATTCAATATTGAATGATCATTCAATCAGTAGATAGCCCCTGGCTATATGTGGAAAGGCGAAATAGTAACTATGAGATAAAATCCTTCAAGTACTGTAGTTTACAGTCTTTGGATGGAGACCAGACAGATAACAATTGCTAAGCCTTTCAGTACAATATATGTACAAGTGCTAAACTGAATAGAATTTTGGGGATAGTAAGTCCTATTGCCTCAAAGGGGAAAGATCACTGTGCATTGGTCTTATCCCAGAAAGCCTAATGAGAGAGGTGGGATTTGGACTTAGACAGTACTTGTCTGTTTTGTAGAGTGTAGAGTTCCCAGTAAGCAGGAGATTAAAAAAAAAAGGAGATAAAAGGAGACTAAAAAAAAGCAGGAGATAGAAAAAAGACATCTGATTGACAGGAAATCCCTTCATCTATCCCTGTACAGATGTAGTTATTATGCATGGTGTTATGTGGAGTAAGCAAGATCTGGTGCTTGACTTCTGGGAACCCAGTCTAACTAAAGTAGTCTAAAGATAGACCTGACCACTGAGAGGTACAGCCAACAGATTAAGAGGATGCAAATACAAAACACATTAACAGCATGCAATAACAGTTGGGTGACTATATTTGATGGAGTGCTGAGGAAAGCCAAGGGAGTTAGATACTTTTTTTTTTTTTGCTTTTTGGTGAGGCAATTGGGGTTGAGTGACTTGTCCAGGGTCAAATAGCTAGTAAGTGTCAAGTGTCTGAGGCTGGATTTGAACTCAGGTCCTCCTGATTCCAAGACCAGAGCTCTATCCCCTGCGCCACTTAGCTGCCCCAAGATGCTTTTTTTCAAAAATCATAGAATCACAGAATTTATATTTAGAAGAATTTTATCAATAATGTAATGCTAATAATAATAGTTCACATTTACATTATGTCTTAAGGTTTCTACAGCTTTTTCTCACAACAGTCATGTAAGATAGACTGTATAAGTACTGTATTACTATCCCTTATTACAGATGAGGAAACTGAGTCTCAGAGAAAATCATTTTCCAATGATCACACAACCTGTGTCAGAACTGAGATTGAAACTCAAGTCTCTTGACCTGTAGTCAAGAATTAAGAAGGATTCAAGATCTACCTGTAATTAGAAGAGAAAGGGCTTGGTGAGTTCTTGAGAGCTCTCTTAGTGAGATCAGCATTCATTTTCATAGCCTATAATTTAAAGAACATTGAGAACAAGATATAACCTGTTGACCTGAAACTAATGTGACATAGTAGAACTGGAAAGAAACTTAAAGATCTCCTAGTCCAATCCCCTCATTTTATAGATAAAGAAACTGAGGCCCAAGGATACAATCTAGTTAGTGGCAGAACTGAAAACAGAATACCACCTGTCACACTCATAGTAGTAATAGTAGTAGTAGTAGTAGTAGTAGCAGTAGTAGTGGTGGTGGTGGTGGTGATGGTGGTAGTAGTAGTAAAATATAGACTCACTGGATATTACAGCTAGAAGATAATTTAGAGATACTCTAGTCCAGAAGTTCTTATTTTTTTGTGTGTGTAATAGATCCCTTTAACAAACTGGATAAACCTCTGAAACCCTTCCCAGAATAATACTTTTATATGTACAGAATAAAAAACAGGATTACAGATAAAAAAACAGGATTACAGAAGAAACCAATTATATTGAGATATAGTTATAAAAACATTACCCCCTCCCAAAAAAAGTTCAAGGATCCTAGGTTAATAATCTCTACTTTGGTCTACCCATCTCATTTTGCATGTGGGGTAACAGAGAGAGGAAGTTATTTGCATAAAGTCACATAATAAGTCAGTGTCATATTTGATTGTTAATAGAGTCCTTTTAAAATGATACTTTATTGATATATTTTGTTTTGACACAAGACAAACTTCTCAACAAAAACCATAACAAACATCCTTAATGAAATATGTCCCACAAAAAAGAATTTATTGCTTACAGAAAGGAGACGTGTCCTTTAACTTTGATACTAAAGTATGATAATAACTCTGTCATACTGACTGAGCTTTGTTGCCTCTCAGTTTTTATTGTGCTTATATTGTTGTAGTCCCTATATCATTTGTTTCTTTGACTCTTCTTTCTCCACTCTGTATTAGTTTATCCAAGTTTATTCACATTTCTCTGAATTCTTCATATTTATCATTCGCTATGCACTACATATGCCATAATTTGTTTCACCCCACACTGATAGGCTCATATTTTTATTCCAGATCTTTGTTATCATAAATAATCTATCTATCACTATTTTTGCACATCTGATTTTGTTG